CTGCTGCTGCTGCTGCCACTACCACCACTATTAACCAGAGTAAAAGGAATAATAGAAATCGTGATAGAAATCACAAAAGTTTAGTTATAACAGCAATAACAGTGATACTAATCGCAATAATGAGGCACTCCAAGGAAGAATATTGGTACTGTAGGAGCCTCAATATTTACCTCTGCTACTATGGTAGGGGTTCCTTCTTCTAATTCGAGTATAATGGGCCCCAAAACCCTATTCTAACTATTAAGGGCCCTTAACCCTAAACCCTTATAGTAGCCCTTATCCTCAGAGGCGGTTCAAGGTAGACCAGACTTCGACTCGGTGCGTTGAGGCCCAAGAGTTGCCAGTCAAGGCCGAAAGCCAAAATGTGGAGGGCCACACGTGGTCCGTGGGCTTCTTCAAAGTTTGGTCGTCAGCGATTAGAGTCGCGTGCTCGACTCATTCGGGGCTTGGAACAGAAACCAGACTCTGAGTTGCTGTCCTGTGTCCTCAGCGGCATTGCGCAAGACGCGGGCCTCCCTCTCCACGAGATGACTCCACGCATGGCAATCACTGAGCTGAAGAAGCATTCTAGCAACTGAGACTCAAATCTCTTTCGCAGAGGTATAATTCTGTGCATTTTCCTTGGGCTGATGTGCATTGGTCTGCAGATGCTCCCAAAGAAGGGCGTTGGTTTGCGTGGTACGACGCAGCTCTGGCAACAGACCGTGTCCTGCACAGCATAGACGCCATGAGGGAAAAAGTCTCCTACATGTTTGGCGTCCAAAGTTCTGTCGACCTCAGACAGTCGCTGGTGCATCTCAGGCACTTGGCATTTGCGACTTTGCGAGAGCTTGTTTGCGTACTGGGAGATTGGCGAAAACCCCTACGAAGCTATGCAGTGCAAGACTGACGATGAAACCGACTCGTACTCGATGAAGCTCTTGACTTTCCAGGCGTAGAGCTTAGGGTTCAGGGTCTAGTCTAGGATTAGCGTTTAGGGTGTTCTTATTAGGTTTTAGGTTTGGGGTTTAGGGAAGTTTAGGGTTTAGGGTCTAGTCTAGGATTAGCGTTTAGGGTATTCTTATTAGCTTTTAGGTTTGGGGTTTAGGGTTTAGGGTCTAGGATTGGCAATTAGGGTATGTTAGCAGCGTTTAGGTTTGGGGTTAAGGGTCTAGGATTAGCGTTTAGGGTATTTTTACTAGGGTTTAGGTTTGGGGTTTAGGGCTGCTTTAGGCCTTTTGGATTAGCGTTTAGAGTTTATTAAGGTTTAGTTTTGGGTTTTAGGGTTCAAGGTCTAGGTTTAGCGTTTAGGGTTTCAATAGGGTTTAGGTTTGGGGTTTAGGGTTTATAGGGTCTAGGCACAACGTTTAGGGAATTTAGGCTGGGGGTTTGGGGTTTGGGGCTTATAGGGTCTAGGTTTAGTGTTTAGGGCTTTATTGGGGTTTAGGTTTGTGGTCTAGGGTTAGGTTTTAGGGTTTAGGCTTTGTGGCGTATGCGGCTTAGGAGTTTAGAACCCAGGCTTCCGGCTTTCGTTTTACAGCTCGGTGGGTTTCGAGTTTAGGGCTAGTGCTTTAGATGTTTTGGGGTTTAGGGTTTAGGGGTTTAGGGTTTAGGGGTTTGGGGTTAGAGTTGTTGGGTTGAGCGTCAAGGCTTCACTGGTCTTCTGATGTAAGTATTCGGGCTCGCCAGGCATCAACCCTAAACCCCAAACCCTAAGCAATAAACCTTAAGCCCTTATTACTTGCAACCCTAAACCCCAAACCCTAAGCCTTAACAGCCCTAAACCTTTAGCCCTTACTTGCAACCCTAAACCCCAAACCCTAAGCCCTAAACCTCAAGCCCTTACTTGCAACCCCCTAAATCCTCAAACCCCAAACTCTAAGCCCGAAACTTTAAGCCCTTACTTTCAACCCTAAATCCAAACCCCAAACCCTAAGCCCGAAACTTTAAGCCCTTACTTTCAACCCTAAACCCTTAGCCGTTTGCGGCGGCAAGATTGGGAAATTCCGAGCCCCGAGGACGAACCCCGCGCGACCGCTGGTTGCCGTGGTCGGCGGCGCCAAGATCAGCGACAAGCCGCACCCTCGGAGTAAGGTAATTTGAAGATTTAGTAGGGTTTAGGTGTTAGGGTTTAGGGTGGGAGGAGCTACTTGAAGCTAGCAGTACTATCATATACCCCGGAACCTTTTTCTGATATTTACGACCCTTAATTCAGCTCAGCTCGAAATCCCAAACCCCACGAGCTGGGTTTGAAGGTGGGGGAAACTGCTCTGAACCCTTATAGACGTTTTCCTCACGCCCATGAAAGCTCAAAAAGACCTCTGTCAGACTTTGCAAAAGCAAGCGCTTACATGACCTCCTCCATGTGGTCGGTCAAGCCTGCAGGTAGACAGACCAAGGCCCACCTTGGCGGGCGTCTAAGCGCAGGTACGCAAATGGGTCCTTAGTAAGCAAACCTAAACCCTTAACCCAAACCCCTAAACCCTAAACCCTAAACCCTAAACCCTAAACCCAAACCAAACCCAAGGATCAAGCTCATTGAGAACCTCATCGACAAGGCAGAGCCGATGAGGAAGATCAGGGGGGAGCAACTGCGGTTTAGGGTTTAGGGTGTAGGGTTTAAGATCCAGCATTTGGGGTTTGGGGTTTCAGGGGGCAGAGGGAAAGTAGAAGAAGAAGAAATAGTAGCAGCAGCAAGAATAGTAGCACTAGAATAAGTAGTAGGAAGAGTAGTGGTAGCAGTAGTAGCAGTAGTTCATGTCGTCGCAGTAGCAGTGGTAGTAGTCGTGGTAGTGGTTGTTGGCGGTGGTAAGTAAGGTCTTGTTGTTGCTGTTTTGCTTTCATTGCTGGTGCTGCAGCATACATTCTACAACTGCCAGTGCAAGCCAGCGGAGGCTGCTCAAACGGCAAGCCTATCCCGTCTGTAGTCTATGACAAAGACAGCGCCTCGACCGAATGTCTTCAATCTGGTGTCTGAATCTGTCAAGTCTTTGTCAGAGGCTACGCAAGGATCCCCGGTGTCGTGTTCAGATGTCAGTCCCTCGTCTCCGGTATAGGAGGCTGAACTCTCAGCGATATGGAGCCTTCCGAAAACTGTTGTCTAGGGTTTAGGGTTCAGGGCTTGGGGTTTAGGGTTTAGGATTTACATACCCCAGAAGCTGTTTCTACACTGATTCTACACCTACACCTTTTGGTAGATGCCGTCCGATGCCTGGCGAAGGCCGATGGCATTATCATCTGCGGCGGCATGGCCTACACATTCTTGAAGCCGCCCGGTTAGAGTTTAAGGATTATCGGCTTTAGGGTTTGGGGTTTAGAGCTAATGTTTCGGGTCGGTCTGAAATATCAGACGTGCCCGTCAGAGCACTGAGACACTCGTCGTGATGATCAGATGCTTCGGCTAGTTGTCAAAATTATGGTCCCTTTTGGGGTACCCTAAGTAATGGGTGCCGTATTATCATAAGGACCCGAAAAGGGACCATAATTTTGACAACCACTCATATAAGAAACTAACATCACATGCCGAAGCCTGAATACGAGTAATAATACAACGCCTTTAGGGTTCCTGGTTATGGTTCTACATACAGTTACCAAAACATGCCTCAAAAGCTCTTTCACCATTGATCACGCCAGGGACACATCCCGGGAAGGCTCCAAACAACACGCCAAATCTGGAAATCCCGCGTTTTCAAGGTTTAGGGACACGCCATGATGGCGGTGATCGTGACGGGATGCGACCGTTGTCGAGCATTTTCAAGGCACCACCCCCAAAAATCCGTGAAGCGGACGATTGGCCGTAAAGCTCGGGGAAAAGCAGCATTTGTTCGTGCATATGCATGTCGTAAATACTTTTCTCTTTGGGTTTGTATCCCTTTCTTTTTACATGGTCGTCTGCATGCATTCTCTCAAATGAAAGAATGAAGAGGCAAGGCTGCAAACCAGTAGATATCGAGTATGTTTCGTAAATGTGGATGGGTGCATGACTCAGACCAAATGATGCATGCAGACATGACGTTTGTTAGCTAGAAACCTGGACAGCATCGCAAGGTTGGGAATCTCGGTAACGAGAAGGCTCCGAAAGCAGAGCATGGATTCGACAGCCTGTGCATGTAAAGGAAGGCCCTAAACCCTAAACCCTAAACCCCTAAACCTAAACCCTAAACCCTAAACCCTAAACCCTAAACCATAAGCCCGAAACCCCTAAACCCTAAACCCTAAACCCTAAACCCGGATCCTTAAACCCAAAAGACTGGCTTAGGGGACCCATTGCGATCTGAGGCAGTGCTTCGGAATGCAGATCGGCCTGGGGCCCTGGCGATGCCTTCGGCTGTCTGAACCCAGTCGACTTAGGGTTCTAGGCTTTAGGGTTTGGGCTTAGGGTTCTAGGGTTAGGGTTTAGGGTTAGGGCTTAGGGTTCTAGGGCTTAGGGTTTAGGGTTAGGGTTTAGGGTTCTAGGGCTTAGGGTTTGGGGTTCTAGGGTTTAGGGTTTAGGGTTTGGGGTTCTAGGGCTTAGGGTTTAGGGTTTGGGGTTCTAGGGCTTAGGGTTTAGGGTTTGGAGTTCTAGGGCTTAGGGTTAGGGTTTAGGGTTCTAGGGTTTAGGATTTAGTTTAGGATTTAGGGCTCTGGGCTGGCTAGCTCCAACTGCAACCCCATCCTCCTAGTGGTTTA